AAGCTAAAACCAAAGTGGTGCAGGTTGCCACTGTTTTACAGTCAGTCACATGCCAAGCTGGCCACATGACTGGCTGGTAGCCATTTTAAAAGAGATACCTGATCCACCATCTTAACTAAAGGTGACCACATGAAAGTTATGAGGTACCATCCTATCAACAAGTTTTTATTCAGATTTAAAATGTTAATGCTTTTATACACAGGAATGCTAAGTTTTATAATTTAACAGTTACCCAGATAATAACGGGTTTAAAGGCCTAAAATGTATTTTAATTTTCAATAAAAAAACATTAAGGGATTTCAGAAGTTTTTAAAATGTTTTCAATTTATAAGGTTATAAGATATTTATACTGTTAAAATGTTTAAAGCTAGACCTAACAATATATAGTTATAGTTTTATAAAGGTTAATAAAGTTTATACTTTCAACAGTTAAGCTTAAGGCAGACAAACCTCTAATACTTCAGAGACCTGAAGAACATGGCATTTAAAATGTTAATTTAAAAGTTTATAATATCAGACAGACTGCCAGATCCTAACAGTGACCCAAAGTCTCCAAAGAAGATTATGAGGCACCCTGGTCCCTACACCTGGATTGTGTTAACTCTAACCAGTGAGCAAGATGCCCAAAGGTGACACCTGCTGCTGCCAGGACCTGGCCCAGAATGTGGACAAAGCTGCTGGACACTGGAAAATTGATTGCACCCCTTTTGCCGAGACAAAACAAGGTCAGTCTTTTCCATGTCCCTCTTCCACAGAGAGAAAGAAAACTCACCTTACAGGCCTGGTAGAGATTGATGCTGTTCCTGATACTTGTGCCTCCAGTGCTAATAGAGGAGACTTGGGTATGGCTGTATATGGACTGGTACCTGGCACTTTTTAATAGATTCGAAGACTGTATAAAATTTATCCTTCTCGGATCTCTAAAAGTATTAATTGTTGTCAGCTTGGCATTAGGCAGTCAAATCCACAAGACTATAGTCAGGTTGATAACTCGTTTTATTTATGTAAAAATCAAGCCTTAATATGTCTCAATAAGGATCAAAGGATGTAAATACTTGTTCAGTCATAAGCTCAAGGTTTATTTTGGTTGTCATCTAAGTATAAACATAAAGGGCTTTTCATCATGCCATAGATACCTCTGTCCAATTCATACTTGGCTCCCTGGACAGAAGACAAATGTACACTACTAGCCCAAATCTGTAGTTTCTGCTAGGACAAAATACAGACACCCAGATATCTGCTTTTTCTACAATGTAGATTTCAGTACCAATTGATAATGCTACTGTACCTATAACCTTTATGTCCTTTTATATAACAAAATTTATATAGGCTTCAGAGGATCAAAAGTCATACAGCTTGGATCCACTTCTCACAGGTCAAAGAGGACTCCAGATAAGTACAGCCAGTTATCCCACCTGTCTGTTCCTGAGAATGAGATTTTCTCTCCTGGTCATGGGATTCCTGACCTTCCTGATCACTAATACTATGGGTCTAAGGAGTTCCAATTAAATACATAAGTTTTAACTTCTGTTCGCAGTTTTAAACATGTCTTAAACAGGTTTCCACTTCTGGCAAACACATCTGAACATCAGTTGCTGACCACAGCCTGCTCCTAAAGACTGCGAGCCCTAGACTTGCTGTGGATGTGAACCAGTTCAGCTGATGTGGACACCCCCTGTCTCTTCAACACAGTCTGCCAATCAGCTGCTCCTGGATAGATACCCCATTGCCTAAATTCCCTTTTTGCTTTTGACTTGCATTTCAGCCTTCTTGGGTCCCATAACTTCGTCCCAAAGTCAGCAAGAAGTAGCATGGAAAGGAATACATCGCCCTCTTTCCCCTGGTTGAGATGCAAAGTCAAAAGAAAAAAATTCCCTTACATAGGGAACAGTATAATAAGAGGGGAGACATATATGCCACTCTCAAAGAGGAATGTTGTTTTTATGCAGACAAGACTGGGGTAGTAACCAAAACTCTGGATAAACTCAAGGAGAGGCTCACTGTTCGTCAGAAAAAAATTTAAATCCCAACAATACTGGTATGAGGGTTGGTTTAACAAATCCCCTGGTTCGCTACACTAGTCTCTACTCTTATGGGCCTCCTAAACTTTGGGCCCTACATTCACAAACAATAATTCAAGCCTTAGTCCTAACTCAACAATACCATGCCCTCAAACAGATGGAACCATAAGTAAACCTTAAGTAGAGAGGGCTGGACAATAGGTAAAAGATTCTACCTATGCACAAGAACAAGGGGGGAATGAAAGACCCCTACCCAGGACCCCCTAGGAAAAGAAAAGCAAGGCCAGGCCGTTGCCTAATGAAAGAAACCCAGACCAGGTGTTTCACCCTCAAAACAGGATGCCTGTGATCACTATAGCAGTCATGGGACCCGGATAATAATTGCTGAAGCGTGCTGGGAACTTTCATATGACAATACTAGAAAACCTAGTCCTTGGCAACTACCCTGGCCCCCAATTGTGTCTGATCACTGTAGCAATCATAGGACCCGGATACTAATTGTTGAAGCATGCCGGGGTCTTTCATGTAGGAAACCTAGTCCTTGGCAACTACCCCTGCCCCCCCAGATGATCTCAGCCCATGCTTCAGTAGCCAATGAAATATCTGTTGCTATGCTGATACTTATGTAATCATTAAAACTCCATAAATAGTGTACTCCCTACAAAGCCCGGTATGCTCTGCACCCGAGTTGCAGTAGCATCCGCAGGCGCCTGTGTACTCAATAAATCACCTCTTGCATTTGCAGCCAGTGGTCTGGCCCTGGTTCTTGGGCAGAGGGTTCGGTTCAGTGCCCGGCGCTTTGATGCCGAGGTTTTTCACCTTATACATGATAATAGAAGTCTTCTGCCATTGTCCTCGCTGTTGGTTGCATACAGAAGGTGGTGTAAGAATAAACTAAGGGCGCATTCAGTGTGGATTGAATCTGCCCTCCCCACAGCTATCCTGTCTCTGTTCTTAACCTCTTTCTTAGCTAGCCTTCCCCCATCCACACTCCCCCACTCAGGTTCGAACCTGGGGCTGCTCGACGGCTCTGATTGCAGCCCCGACAAACACAGCCCCCCATTCCCAGAAAGGTATAAGGAGAGCCCCCACTTCCACTATGTGGACCCCGATTCCTCCCTTGAGAGCCACTGCCATGATGTCTGCCTCCAGTTGAGCCCCCACTCTGTCTGTCTGTCTGTCTGTCTGTCTGTCCATGGCACTAATAACTCCTAATAAACTCCTTAGTCCCAACAATCATTTCAGTGTCCTCTGAACCCACATCGGGGGGCCTTTGATGCCGAATACCTCTAGTTATTTTTTATTTTATTTATTTATTTATTTATTTATTTTGGTTTTTCGAGACAGGGTTTCTCTGTGGCTTTGGAGGCTGTCCTGGAACTCGCTCTGTAGACCAGGCTGGTCTCGAACTCACGGAGATCCGCCTGCCTCTGCCTCCCGAGTGCTGGGATTAAAGGCGTGCGCCACCAACGCCTGGCCTTTTTTTTTTTTTAGTTATTTTTTATTATTTCTTAGGTGTGTGCATACGCACCTTCATGAGTTTATGTGTGTGGCATGCATTGAATTCCCCGTAGCTGGGTTACAGGAGGCTGTGAGCCCACAGGCGAGCATTGGGAATCGAGCCTGGGTCCTCTTCGAGAGTGGTGAGCCCTCTTACCTGCTGAGTCGCCTCTCCAGCCCCAGCTCACCTGGCAGACAAACAAAGCCTGGGTTCTGGGATGTAGCAATGAACCAAACAGATGGGACTCATATCCAACAGCAGGCAGGTAATGCCAACCGTGTCGCAGCACTGCTGGGCATGTTTGCGAAGCTTTGCTTGTCTGCATGCAATCCCGTAGTCCAAATGTAAGTTACCAGATGTCCCCAAAGCATCCCCCGTGCATTTCGTAGGTCACGTGACCCATCCCTGGAGTCTAGGACCGCTCTTCAGCCTTCCCTTGACAGAGCACCTGCATGTACGTCTTTACACCAGCAGAGGGCACCAGATCTCATGTGGTTGCTGGGAATTGAACTCAGACCTCTGGGAAAGCAGCCAGTGCCCTTATCCTTTGGGCCACTTCTCCAGCCCGACAGGCAAGTTTTTGACTGGAACCACTCTAGCGGGAGGGCACTTATGCTCCTCCCATTGACTACGAGACCATGGAGACAATAGACTCTGAAGAGTTAAAGCTTCCCCAGGGATCCTATGTCAGAGGAGAGACTTGGAGCCCAGGTATAACCTCCCCAGGCATCTCATGCTGGAGAAGGGAAAGGCTGAAGTCAAAACCAGCCAGAGGAGAGGCTTGAACTTGCCTCCAGCAAGAGATGGCTCACGGTTCTGCAACTTGCCAGACCACCCTGCAGGAGAGGCGAGCCTGGACGGTGATGATGGGCAGGACCACACCCTAACCAGACTCCTTAGCTCTGCCTACCGCGTGCCATCTATTTAAACCCAGGCCTCAGGTCAGACCAGAAGATGGACTTGGGGGTTCACTGGACCCCTTTATTAGCTCCTTTTCCCAACGCGACCACATAGAATAAACCTAGGCATTTCACTGTGACTTTTCTCAATTTTTAAAAAGCTGTGTGGATGGGGTGGGTGGAGTCTGTGCTCAGGCATTGGGTTCCCCAGAGCTGGAGCTACAAGCAGTTACGAACTGCGACACCAACCTGCCAGACCTGGGTACTGGGGGCCAAACTCGGGCGCTGTGGCAAGCGCAGTCGGTGCTCTTAGGCACTGAGCCACGCCTCCAGCTCCGTGTCCTGTTTAATTGGCGTGTTTGGGAGGGGTGGCCGAACGTAGCTTTCTGGCTCTCCAGGAATGAATGACACGGCGTGTGGGCACACAGATACACACTGAGGGAAATGAACTCCAACCTTTGCAACGTAGGCAGCTGGTGATGCCGCCAGTCGGTAGACAGCAGGTGGCGCTGGTAAATTAAATGCAAGTCTTTGTACAGAAGTGCCCCGGATGGGCTTATTGACAAACTGTATCAAACCTTCAAAGAGAAAGCAATGCCTTTTTATTTACACAAACCGTCTCAGAAAATAGATTTTTTTTAAAAAGGGAATATTTCTCAATACATTTTAAGAAAGCAAAGCCTGGCCAGGTCATTACAAGTGAGAGAGAGAAAAAAAATTACAAAACGCCGCCTCTCATGAACGCAGGCACAAAGAAATCCCCAAACCACGAGGTCGCTTTTTGTCCAGGGAGCAGAGCCGGCGCACAACACCCTCCTCACAAGATGTAGTCCAGGGTGGAGGAGTGAGAAGACCGCTGATTGGAGGACAGCTGCCTCTCCCACGCCCCCAGCGGCGCTCGCCCCCCGACGTGCAGGAAGATGTGGCTGCAGCTCTTCTGAAACACGGCCGCCAGGTTCTTCTTGAACTTCTCCCCTATGAAGGCGTAGATGACGGGGTTCACGCAGCAGTGTGTGAAGGAGATGACTTCCGTGACGTGGGTGGCCAGAGCGAGCCCCTGGCTCACGGCGCAGCCGTCCAGGACGCGCAGGTCGTGCAGGGACCCGAGGAAGAGCACGGCGTTGAACGGGACCCAGAAGAGCAAGGACGCGATGACCACGGCGAGCACCAGCTTGACCGCCCTGGTCCGGTTGTGGTTCTGGCAGCCCCGCAGCTGCTGCAGGACCCTGATGTAGCAGAACAGGAGGACGGCGAAGGGGAGAAGCAGGCCCAGGACGTTGACCTCGAAGTGCACGGAGAGCTTCCACCTCAGAGACTGGTTGTCGTAAAACGGGAAGCACTGCAGAGTGCCGTCGTCAGGGGCCACCTGGTAGAACACCAGCAGCGGGAGCGTGGCTGCCACGGCGGTCAGCCACACCGCCAGGCTCAGGGCGCCGCCCACTCTGGCCGTCCTCACTCGGAGGGCGTAGACGGCGTGCACGACCGCCAGGTACCTGTCCACGCTCATGAGGGTGACGAAGAACATGCTGCTGAAGAAGCCGACGTAGTAAAAGCCAGACACCGCTTTACACACCGCAGTCCCGAACACCCACTGGTCCAGCAGGTAGTGAGTCTGGAAGGGGACGGAGAAGACGAAAAGCAGGTCGGAAACGGCCAGGTTCAGGAGGTAGATGTCGGTGATACTCCCCAGCTTCTTGCAGGCCACGAGGACCAGGATGACCAGGCCGTTGCCCAGAAGGCCCAGCACAAACAGGATGCAGTAGAAGACGGCGAGGGGCAACCTTCCGCCTCTGACGGCGGACTCCGTGTCACAGGGGGTGGTGAAGACGTCGGGGTAGTAGTCGGTCACCGTGACGTTGGGATCCAGGGTGTGATCCATCCGGGCTGGAGGACCTGGCCACAGAGGTGCGGGAGAGAGATACTGGAAATTGTATCCACACCCTGAAGCCCTTAAGGCCCTCCCCTCTCTCCCTGGGACTCAACGGCAGGGTGTTAATGGGATACAAGTGCCCTACCTCAATGCCACCCTCTCCCTAGACCCTGCTTCTTTACACAGGGTCACACCAGGGGGTTTTAGAACTAGGTATGTAGCTCAGGCTGGCCCCCTGCCTTAGCCTCCCCGAGGCTAGTTTTACCACTCAGTACCATGCGGTACCCTTGCCTGGCTCCTCTCTCCCTCTCCCCCCTCCTCTGTCTCCCTTTCTCCCTCCCCCAATTTTTTTTTGTTTTTTTCGAGACAGGGTTTCTCTGTGGTTTTGGAGGCTGTCCTGGAACTCACTTTGTAGACCAGGCTGGCCTCAAACTCACAGAGATCCGCCTGCCTCTGCCTCCCAAGTGCTGGGATTAAAGGTGTTTGTCACCAACGCCCGGCTCCCTCCCCCAATTTTAACTAATTAATTATTGCATTTTGAAATAGACTCTCACTATGTAGCCCTGGCTTTCATAGAACCAGGCTGACCTCAGACCCTCAAACTTGCAGAGATCCACCTGCCTCTGATTCTCAAGTGCTGGGGTTATAGTCTGTGTCTGGCTTCTCCTTCATTTTATGTATCCATAAACTCTATACAGGCAGGATGTGATGGCACATGTCTTTAGCCCCAGCACTCGGGAGGCAGAGGCAGGCGGATCTCTGAGTTCAAGGCCAGCCTGGTCTACAGAGTGAGTTCCAGGACAGTCAGGGCTACCCAGAGAAACCCTGTCTCAAACAAACAAAATGTATATGAATATACAACATACAACATTTGTGTATCCATTCATGAGTTACATAAATGATGTCTCATTTTATATTTCACTTTAGATGTATATCCCAAGGGAGCTGGAGAGGTGACTCAGTGGTTAAGAGCACTGACCGCTTTTTCAGAGGACCCTGGTTCAATTCCCAGCACCCACACCGCAGCTCACAACTGTCTGTAACTCCAGTTCCAGGAGATCCAACACCCATGGCAAAGCACCAATAAATATAAAATAAAAATAGATGTATCCATGATATTCATAAATTTATTTCATTCTTTCATTGTTTTCATAATCCCCAGAAACAATTTAAAATGCAATAGAAAAAAATGAGCCCAACATACAGTAAAAATGAAAAGCATCAGGTTTTCCAGAAGTAAACTTAATTAATGAAGGCAACAATTCAGTCATATCAAAAACGGACACCAGGGAAGACGTAGCTCAGTAAGGTGCTTGCGGAACAAGCATGTGGACCTCGATTCAACCCCAAAACTCACGTGTGGCGGCGAGTTCCTGTAATCCCAGTGCTGGAGGCAGAGACAGGGAGGTCTCAGGGGCTCTGGCCAGCCTGGGCTGCTTCGTGAACACAAAGCCAAAGAGAAACTGTCCCAAGAAGCACTTGAGCGATGGCACTGAGGTTGACCTCTGACCTGTACATGCATATGCAAATATTCAGACACTCACAAAATAAAATAATGTGGAATAAAAATTATAGCTCCCTGGTAGAATACATGCTTAGCATGCACAAGGTCCTGGGTTCCATCCCCACAGCCCCACATCCCCCACTTGTAAAACTTCACTGGAAGACAGACAAGAGAGTGTGACAGAGGAAACGTCTTGTGTGGAAGGGCTGACCCCAGGAAAGCTCTTTTTGCCGAATTTTCCACTCTTGTGGGCTTTTCACTTCCTCCCATGTCCTGGAGAGAGCAGGGGGCGTGGTGCTCCCATCAACCACCAAGACGTTCCCAAGAGTGTGGGCTCAGACTCTGGAGACACTCAAGTTTTTAAAAAATAATCTGGGAAACCATAGTCTTCCCCTGACCTCTCTGTGAGGAGATAAGAGCCGCCCTGCACGGCCTCTGCGCCCTCACCCTAGGAAGCGCCCTAGGTACCTGAGCAGCCTTGGCTCTGAGGTTTCACAGTTGCCCACTCTCCGTCTGCTGCATGCCTGCCGCGGTGTCGCCTCCTCTTCCTCTCCGCCTCAGCTATATGTCTTGCCTCAGCCAATCCGAAGAGCGGAAAAGGCAATAGAGCTGGTGTGGAGACAGCCCTGCCCCTGCCCCTGCCTCCAGAGGGCCGGCATGGCTTCTGTGCTGCAGCTACGAGGCCGGGGGCTCTCTACTCTCAAGCTTCAGCCGACTCTGCCTGTCTCTTCCCCTCAGATCTGCGGCAGAGGCGAGCAGGGGTCCCTGCACTCCAAAGGACGGTGATGATGTGGGGGTGGGGAGGAGAGCTGTCCAGAAAGGAAGATTAAAACAGAACCTGTGACAGCTCTAAGGTTGTTCTCTAGAACCCAAGCAGGGAAAAAAAGAGTCAGCACTGTTAGGTGTCAACACCCCCCACCCCCATCCCCTACCTCCCACCCCTGCCAAACGCCAAGGTGCCTATTTAACATGTCACAGCAGACCTGGCTTTTCTCCCTCCCTGTTATAGGGTATGGCTGCCATACCCCACCCTCTCCCCCAACCCTCCAGCCCAGCTGCGTCCCTGTATAATCCAGCCATTTGGTTACCTGGTCTTTTCTGTCTACTCCCTTGACCAGTCTCTTGGCCCACGCCACCCCCCTTGGTCAGCAGCTGCTCTCCCCGTCCCCCTCTCTCTCCTCACAGGGCCCCGGCTCAGGGTCGTGTCCACTGTGGCTTCTCCCAGAAGCCCCTGCCTCTGCTATGTGCTCCCTTTACCTACAGTAAATGTTCTCTCCCTCCATACCTAGGAGCAGTCACGTCCTCTTCTTTTTTATTTTTCATCCAACCAATAAAGACTATTTAGAAGATGGTTACAGACTTTAAATTTGAAGAAGGAGGAGGAGAAGGAGGAGAAGGAGAAGAAGGAGAAGAGGAAGAAGAAGAAGAAGAAGAAGAAGAAGAAGAAGAAGAAGAAGAAGAAGAAGAAGAAGAAGAAGAAGAAGAAGAAGAAGAAGAAGAAGACTCAGAGGTTAACAGCACTGGCTGCTCTTCCAGAGGTCCTGAGTTCAATTCCCAGCACCACATGGTGGCTCACAACCATCTGTAATGAGATCTGGTGTCCTCTTCTGGCCTGCAGGCATATATGCAAACAGAACATTGTATAATAAATAAATAAATCTTTAAAAAGAAGCAGCAGCAGCTGGGACATAACTCAATTGTTTGCTATGCAAGGATAAAGACCCAGCTTTGTCCCCCAGGACAAGGTCAGTGCGGTGGTGTGTATCTACAATCCCAGCACCGGTGTGGACACAGCGGGATCCTGGAGTTTGATGTACAGCTGTTTCAGCTGCCTCAGTGAGAGACCCTGTCTCAGAAAAGTGTAAGGTAGAGAGTGCACACACACACACACACACACACACACACTCTCTCTCTCTCTCTCTCTCTCTCTCTCTCTCTCTCTCTCTCTCTCTCTCTCTCTTTTGAAAATATTATGACCCTCCAGTCCCAGACAACCCAAATAGCTGGAATTATTGATGTATGCCACCATGTCCCTAGACTGCTCAATTCCACAGTGGCATCTGAATAGCCGACATGCTTGCTAACCCTATGCTTCCTTCCATAGAGCAACAGCCATTGGCTCTTCAGGGATCTGTAACTTCAACACATAGCTTACTTCTGCAGTTTGAGACCAGGCCAGTGGGGTAACAGCTACCAGCATGGAAGGCGATGTCTTGCCTGGCTCTCAAGAGCTAAGGACATAAACAGAGCCCCTCGATCAGGCAGACCCAGGAAGGCCACAGAGGACTTGCCCACCCCTCTAGCTGACCTGCTGTAACTAAGCTCTCCCCATCCTGCCAACCACAGAAGCTCGTTGTCCTGCCATGAGGAGCAACAGGGAAGGTTGCACTGGTCTCCTTGGGAGCCGGAGTGTGAAGGGTGATTCTAACTGCTCACACAGCAAGATCAGAATCGCTGAGGAGGCATGCTTCCGACACATCTGTGAAAGGTTTTCTGGGGATATCAGTTGAAGTGGGAACTCACCCTAAGTGTGGGCAGCACCGTTCAGTCCCGGGATCCTGGACCCAATAAAACAGACAAAGACAAAGACAAACACTTTATTCCCATCTGAGGGACCTTACTTTTCTGTTGCGGTGGTAACCCGCTCTAACAAAAGCAACTTAAGGGAGAAAATGTTTATCAGGCTCACAGTTGGCCATGTAGAGAGGTCAGAAGATAAGACTGCTGGTGGCTGTGTTCACAATCGGGGAACAGAGCAATGCATGCTGGGCTCAGCTGTCTTTCCCCTTTTTATCCAGTCCAGGGAGTGATGCCACCCATAGGGTGTTTGTCTTGCATCTTGATTAAACTAATCGGGATAATTCCAGATCTCATTCAGTTGACAACTGGGATCAACCACCAACCACACTTGAAGTTGCTTGGTGGAGTGTTTTGCCACAGCCAAGAGGAAAGCAAGTAATACCAGGGACAAGGAAGGTACGATGTTCTCTCAGACCTATTTCACTGGTGTGTGTGTCCGTGTGTGAGGAGGCAGGATAACCTTTACTGTTATTCTGTTTTTGTTAGCTGTTTTTTAAACTTATTTATTTGGCGTGTATTGGTGTTTTGTCTGAATGTCTATGCATCACGTGTATGCCAGTGGAGGGTTTCTCACTGGGACTAGAGTTACAGACCATTATGAGCTGCTATTTGGGTGCTGGGAACCAAACCCCAGTCCCCCAGAAGAGCAGCCAGAGTCTTAACCACTGGGCCACCTCTCCAGCACCATCTCTGTCTGTTTTGTTTTGTTTGTTTTTCAAGACAGGGGTTCTCTGTGTAACAGTCCTGGCTGCCCTGGAACTCGCTTTGTAGAGTTCCAGCCTGGCCTTGAACTCACAGAGATCCACCTGCCTCTGCCTCGCAGGTGCTGAGATTAAAGGCGTGGCCACCACTGCCCGGCTACTCCTACCATTAGTTTCTGCTGTTTTGAGGTGGCCTCTAGCTGGCCTGGACCTCCTAATTTGGCTAGGCTGGCTGGCCAGCGAGCTCCAGCGATCCACTTAACTCTGCCTCCCCGAGACCTAGGACTGCAGACACCTGCTACCGGCCTGGTTTTGTCATGGAACATGAGTTCTAGGGACCGAGTGCAGGTCCTCCCGGCTGCAGGGCGAGCATTCTATCAAGTCTGTCTCTCTGGCCTCAGTGCCTAGATGCTACTTCAGGGGACGGTGCGTCCCTCTCAGCCTCTGTTCTGTGACTCATGGGTCTCAATTCTCTTCTGATTTTTAGAAGCCTCTTCTGGCACCTGAACTCAGACCTGCACAATTCTCCTCA